GCACTTTGGAAATAATATCTCGATTGGGAAATGATCGAAATTTTTTTGAAAATTCAATTTAGTTCGCTCTAAACCGTGCGCGTATACATACAGAAAAATGCTACATACGTATAAATATGACTTGTTTTAAATAAATAATATGTGTATTTTTTAAAAGGGTATATGATAATTCTACTGACAACGTTCGTGAAAAAGAAAGAGCGCACTAAACTGAGTCGAACTGAGTCCTTTACCATTTTGTAATTTTCGCAATAGTTAACAAGATATTAATTACTAAAATATTAGTTTTCAAGAATTTTTTACTCAAGTACTATCAACTTTACAGAAAAACAGCAAGAGACAAAAATTGTTAATTTTTTTCTCATAAAGCTCTAGAAATCTTTTCAGAATTTTTTATCAATCTTTTAATAATGAATTTTCTTATTAACAACTATTTTTACCAAAATGAGAATATACGGTACTAAAAAATTCTGAAAAAATTCTTAGAGCTTTACGAAAAAAAAAAAAAGAAAATATTTGTCTCTTGCTGTTTTTCTGTAAAGTTGATAGTACTTGAGTAAAAAATTCTCGAAAATCAATATTTTAGTAATTAATATATCTTATAACTATTGCGAAAATTACAAAATGGTAAAGGAGTCAATTCGACTCAGTTTAGTGCGCACTTTCTTATTGAAGAACGTTGTCGGTAGAATTATCAAATATCCTTTTAAAATACACATATAATTTATTTAAAACAAGTCACATTTATACATATGTAGCATTTTTCTGTATGTACACGCGCACGCTTTAGAGCGAACTAAATTGAGTTTTCAAACAGATTCCGATCATTTCCTAATCGAGATATTATTTCCAAAGTGCCGTCATCGATAGCTTGGCGCACGAGAAGTGGGCAGTGGGGCAAGCGCACCCCGCTCATCGCCGCGAGCCTCTAAGCTCGAACGTCGCGGCGCGCCTGCTAGGCCCCTGCTCCTTGCGTCCCGCGCGCCGTGCGCTCGGTGGGCCGTATCTTCGGCAATATTAGGTCGGGCGGACGCGCGTATTCCGCTATCTTTAAACGTTAATATCTCGTTAACTATTGCTGACACCGCAAAATGGACTTTTCGACTCAGTATAGTATGTTCTACCCACGCACGAAACATTTGTCGGTAATTTCCAGACACCCTGTATAGTATTCGAAAATTATGTTTTACGATTGGAAGAGCCTAATGATAGGTTTTGTAAAAATGAACTTTTTTAAATAAAAAATTATAATTATTTTTAAAGATAAGAACGCAGTCTTGCTTGTCTCTATATTGAACACGAAACTGATTGTATATAATATGTAACCATGTAGTATTTCAATAGTGCCAGAAGCGTCTATTTTGACGGTACTGATTCGTAGTATCATACGCATGTGTAATAGTTTGCCATAAATGTCAGAAGCGTCTATTTTGACGGTACTGGTTTGTATTATCATATGCATGTTATTGTTTGTTATAAATGTCAGAAGCGTCTATTTCGACGGTACTGATAGAATAAATCTCAGAGACGTCTAATCAGACGATACTGACAAAAATATCAAAAGCGTTTGTCTTGACTGTAATGGCAAAATAAACGCCAGAAATGTCTATTTTGACGGTACTGGTTTGTATTATTATATGCATGTTATTGCTTGTTATAAATGTCAGAAGCGTCTATTTCGACGGTACTGATA